CCCCGCGCCGCGCCCCGCGCCCGCCACCTCTTTATAGCGGCCGGAGCCCGGAGCGCTGCCCCCGGCGACACCGCCCCGCAGCCCGGCTCCTCCTGCCCCCTGCCGGGGCTGTCCCCGCCCCTCCGGCGAGGCCGGTACGTATCAGCTCCCCCGCGGTGAAGGAGGGGGTAGGGGGTTGTTGGTAGCTTTTATATTCTTTGAGAGGCGACCTCTTCCTCGCCCTCTTTCTGTCTCCCCTCTCTCCGCCCCCTTCTTCCTTGTCCTCGTCCCCTCCTTCCTCGTCCCCTCAGCCCCTCCGCCCTGCTCCCCGTCCCACACACTTTTCTCCGGCGGCCTGTCCCGCCTCCCGGCCAGCAGCGGGGGTGGCTGTCGGGTCCCTCGCCACCTCCTCCTGGTCCCCTTGCTCCCGGCCTGGGGCCCCGCCAAGGGCTTAGGAACTGGGGGGGAAAGGGAAAAGAGGTTGGGGGGGTGGAGAGAGAGAGAGAGAAAAGGAAATTCTCTCCCCAACTGCGGGAGGTGTTTGTTTATTTTTACTCTTAAGTTTGTTTGCAAGCTGTCATGCTTTTATGCTAGGAATGTGAAAGTGAAGAAACTGAAGTGATTGTGTTTATTTTAAAGGCTTCTGAAGAAACTTGCTAAAAATAAGTGTGTTGCCTTTCTCTGCCCCGTGTTTCAAAACTAATCACTCCATAAACCTCTCGTCTTGCAAAACCTCAGTTGGGTGTGCCTTTTTGTGCGTGCAGATGTTTTCATTGGCTTTACAGTGCTTAGCTGAGGCTTCCAACACTCCCCTGAAGCAGCAAAGTACAGCAGATGTGAAAGGTACAAAGGTACAGAGGCACAAAGGGCTAAACACTCAGGAAAGACACCCTGTGTCTGCTGTACTTCTTATTTAGTTATGAGGCTTCTCAAGTGCTCTCTAGTGGCTATTTAGTTCTGGAAGTGCATGAGATACTTGGGTGCATAAGTTTACTTAGTCTGCTGGTGAACAGGAGACTGTTCTAGAATCCAGGTTATGCTTGTATACTTATTCTGTTCATGTTTATTTTACTTGGTTTATATAACTTGAATATATTTATTCTGGTATTTTTACTCTTCTGATGAAACTGTTGTGCACTGTATAAATGCTCAATAAAGCACTGCTTCAGTCTGTTTGCTAGTCAGTATTACAGCTACAACAAATTTATATGAGCTCAAAAAAAGAGACAAGGTATTCAAACATATGTTTGTTACAGCTGAAGGAAATACTTAGTGGAGGAAAATATATTTAAGAATAAACATGCAGACACAACTTCGCTGCAAAGCCCCTGACTTAAAAGTTGCTAATGGCTGGAGGTGTCTTCAGAGGATGCCCCTATCTTGCTTTATGGGGTGGGGTTTTTTTTGTAGTTTTCTGCTACTGCTTACTCAAAAGACAAAAAACACTGTCTAAAAATAACTTTAGTCTTACCCTTTATATCTATTTTTACATTGGTTTTTGAAATAGCAGGATGCTGAGTTCACTGGAGTCAATACTGGAATAACTGGGACAACTTATTACTTTACTATTTAATATACATGGAAACTACCACAACAGGAAAGTCTAAAATTGCTTATCCACATGGACCCGTTATCAAAGTTGTGACTTTTGCAAGCTATTTAAATAAATGGTCCTGATGTTCCTTTTAAGCAGAGGTGTGAGGTTTGAACCTGGCTTTCTCACAGCTCGGGCACGTACAGTTTGTTTTCACTGAAGTACGTGCAGGTTATCACTATGCCATGGAGAGTCTAATTAACGCAGTTTTAACCCCTAGAAGTGGCCCATGGTACAGGAGAACTGAGGTTAACTCCAAAGAAGGAGTGTGCTCAAGATGTACTCCTCAGGTTGGCTTTTTCTGCTCCCTGATTTTTTTACTCATTCATTCAGGGCAATGTTGGCTTATTGTAGTCCTGTCACTCATCCCTGCCCCTGTGGCATGATGGGCTGACACGGCTCTTTGTGCAGGTGTCTTGAGAAACTGAACGGGGAAACAATCACATTGTTTCAGCTCAGTAAATTCTGTGATATGGCAATAGTGGAGATCTTCAATTGAGGAAAAACTCAGGTCTGTTTCAGTTACTCTTGCAATCAAGTAAGTTCAAGCAAAATCAGAAATTGAAAGACGTCACCATACAGGAAGCTTAGGCATCGGTATTAAGGATGTGTCAGCTTGTTCAGAATCAAATGCTGCAGTACTGAATGTTGTACTTGGGGTGTAAATCATCCAAACTCTTTAAAAACAGAATCCAGATCTTCTGTTCCCATTACTAGGACTTAACTACATGAACACTTTTCTCACCTAGACAGAAGATGTGGTAACCAAATTAGGGTGTTGCCCATGTTAAAGAATACAATAAAGGTTTCTTAAGAAGACTGAGACAGTTTGTTGTTTATATTCTGTATACATATTCCTTAGAACATCAGAGGAAATAAATTTTAATTGAAAGTTAAATATGACATTTCTTTTCTGAAATATTATATTTCCCTATCACTTCCCAGAACTAAATGGAATGGGAGCATTAACAATGGAAGGAATTCCTGAATATCCAGTCTAAAATAATTAATTATAATCTTATTAATAAACTTCTCCATACATTTTCTGTTATTACTGCTTTATTTGTATTTTACAAATGTGTATATGCAGAGGTATTTTTTAGTTCCTTCACACATGGAGAGTGAATCAAAACTCAACTGCAAAAGTTTCTCACCCATCTAAACAGTGACATGTCAATTTACAACAAACAATTTTGTTTAGCAGCTTATTGAAACACTTGAATAATAATAACCTTGAAGGAAAGTATTCCCTGTTAGGAGAAGTGTTGCAAAGTAAATGTACATGCTTTATAAATTATTTGCCTAGATTTCACCTTTTTATATAAAACCTTGTTGTGGTTGAACAGTGTGGCAGATGTGATAGTAATGCGTCTTTAAATTGCTTCAGCTGCTTACTTTCTTTCAGTGTGACTGTCCTTACCTGCAACTTGTACAGTTATCTGTTTCAGTTCCTTCCAGTACTAGTATATGTCATCCTCTGTACTGGAATGGTTTTTGATTTTGTTACCCATGGGTGTAAATGTCTTTACAAGAGTAGAGATGGTTAGAAAACAGCTCATCTCTCTAGAGGGCAGAAGCTTATGTGCTAGTTTCAGGTCTGGCGGTCAACATGAGTCAACTCTGTGCTGCTCAAGTTAGAAGTAAATAACCTTTCTTTACGTGTGTAAAGTTCTGCTATGAAAATAGTAGGCTTCTGGCAGGTATAATGGAAATACATTATTAATCAGATAAATGCCCTTCACAGTGAACATGATGGGGGATTGATTTTGAACTGCTTAAGCTTTTTTTTTTTTTTTTTTTTTTTTACAAGTCTAATGTTAACTGGTTGGGTGAGATCACTTTTCATTCACTCTCAGTTCTGTAGTTTAGGACTTCTATGACTTGATGCCAGACCTCTGGGAGGCAAAACTGCTTGTGGAGAAAATTAAAGTCAGACAAAAACACGGACTGCTTTTCAGCTTTTTTTCCTGTGTCTTAGCTGCTGAAATTATGTGGAATTGAAAGTAGATGATGTTCTGTGCTCTGTGTACAACCATAATGTTTTGACCCAAAAAGCACAGTTTAGAAGCCAATGGCTTCCTCAGGTTTCAGCTGTTTCCTCTGTATGGCACAGATTTCTAAACTTGCCAAGGTTTGCATCCCTGCAGAATCAGTCCCCTTTTGGCTGCAGAATAACCTTTTCCACAGATCTGTCTTTTAAAGCCCGCTTTCCACCAAATGCACTGACATCTGCTACTCTAACTGCTTCCATAGTGTGTGAACTGGCCAGCTAGGGATATAAAA